GCTACTATTTGTGTATTAAATAAAGAAATAAAAATCATCTCTCACCTAGCACATGACCTTCCAACAGTATGCGAGCACAAACATATGATATATCTGGTTTTGTCCATCCTATCACTCTCCCTCGTAAAAAATAGATTCTCTTTTTGGGGTTATTCAGCTGCCTGAGTTAAATTGGTGGTACATCGTAGACAATTTAAAATTGAATAATTCGTTTTATACATATTTTCAACCATTTTTTTCCCAGTCAAATGAGTATTCTAAAGTATTCACGTTGATAAATCTTTTTTTTTTGTTACTTAAAATATTTTAAAGCATCGATAACTTATCTAGACTTTTCTCTAGTTGTTTTATTTAATTAATAGGCAAATAGCTTTGGATTGATTACGTTTTTGCCATTTTGTTTGTGTTGTATTTATTTCACTGCTAGATTGGTTAAAAGTTAAGGCTCTAACCTTTCCAAAAATTAACAACCTGAAAAAATGACTAGTCCACTTTGTTTTTGGTTTCGTTTCTGATTTTATTGAGTATAAACTTATAAACTTCCGTAACCAGTAAAAGTTATGTTTTAAGTACACGACATTTGTAGGAGCCGTTTCATAATTTCTAATCCGTATGATGTAGCGATTCATTTGATGCATTAAAAAGATGGTTATTCAAATGATTTTTATTCCCGTGATATGATTTTCCTCTATATAATACTCTTGTCATTCACCATGTATTATGCAGTGTTTCTTTCTATTTTCTTTTCACTAAAGTGGCAAGAGGACTTAATTTTAACGAATCTGAAAGATTGAAACTAAATTATATTCTCTTGATATTGTTTTACTTGAATCTTCCCATTGATGTTTTAGGACTGAAATTGATCAGTCTCTTATTGGCATATGTGCATACTGTGCGTATGCCTCGATATTGCTCTAATTTACAAGCATTCTGTATTAAATAGAAAAAAAAATGATGTCAGACGGTTTTAGGATATTGACTGGAATCAGTCAACCTATATTTAATTGTGATTGTTAGCAAAATAACTGATAATTCTTCGGATATAAGACCTGTATTCTTTGTTGCCATTAATAAACATATCTCGGTCAAGTTGGTTTATACTCTGATTTGATTATGTATATAACCTGGTTAGCTTTTGCCAATCGGATTTACCCGAATCCTATTAATCGAGAAGTATTGTATAGCCACTTCCATACATTATGGTTATTTTGTTACATTTAAATTTCAATTAGACTGATTCATGTTGTGGAGGATGTTAGATCCCCAGAAATCACTTGGTAAATGTCTCTTTTTTGTAACTTGATTATGGAAATTGAATTTCTCATTTTCGCGCCAAAAGTATGCGCTTTTACTTTCAGTTTGTATTTCCCATCTAGAAGGATCTTAAATGTCATTGGTTCGTTTCCTCTTTTAGTACGCTATTTTGTGACGTTTTCCAAGAACATTTTTGTACCGTATATTTACGCATTAGTTGTGTGCTTGTTCGTTCGTGCTTCCGGACCCCCTCTAGTTAGCAGGGCTTGGGCGCGGTGGAATAGCTTAGTTCATCCTGTTGTTGTGTTGCTGACTTTCCGTCCTCCCGACCTAGATTTGATTTTAGGACTTTAAATAAACGAAAATTGTTCATTAAATCCTGAAATCAAAAATGTGTTTCAACTCAGTGATGACAGGTAGACGTTTTGGTTCAATACAGATGGCTTCAAACAGTATTCAATGCAATATTCCAACTAATTATAGTTGGTAAAAAAAAGCATCACCAAAACGTATGAAATCATTCAGGAATAAAGTAAAAATCATCAATTTATTTTATAATCATTAGAAACCGATAAAAAACAAGTTATCTTTTCTTGCGTGCATAAATATGAATAATCAAATTTAATTAACATCTACAAACTAATTGAATAAGCTACCAGTCGTACGAAATAGTAAATTGTCACTGGTTATACAGTGAAAGTATGAGAAATAAGTGACCTATGCTGAATAGTGTATCGAATATATATAAACACTGCGTGTTTAAACGTGGTACTAACAGATTTAATAGTAGGCTAAAAAGCAGGCTAGTCGTTTGCGAATAAGCGATTAGATTCAAATACATTTTTTTAAAGGTTGACTAAATGCGAACTTATTGCCGAAATTTTTTTTGTGAAGTGCTTTCTATTTAAAAGTATACATCCTCTATGCATTAGTCAGTCAGTCTTCAACACCGTAGAACCTTGTACGCACGTACGTCAGTTCGAGTTGCATACCACATTAGCACAGAGATACAATTGTCAATTCAAAACCCGTAGTGGTAGAGGTAATAAAAGTATAAGCAGTAATCGGAAAGATTAGGGTTTGAAGATGTTATTCAAAAAGTACAATCCAGTATAATCCGACCGTAGCCGCTACCTCGGCGTCGTGGTTGGGCTTTCCTATCGTGATGAACCAACTGAGCTATATTGAATGGAACATATGTTCCTGTAGGTTCTACCATGCCAGGCAGGTCAATTGGAGAACGGTAAGACTAAAAGCAGCAACTCAAGGTCTGAGGGCAAAGTCGTACTACTGTCTGTAGAGGGGTGTGACAACAGTAAGATGTTTCTCTCGGACAACCAGCATGACAGCGATGCTGCTTTATCACAAGGAAAGAAGGTCGACCCAAAAATGCCACACTTTACCTTACCCCACGGATTTCCGTCTCCGGCGGTAAGGCCTTTTAAAGAACGGAGCTAACACGTTAAATACTTCCCACAAAAAGGCCGTCCGCGACCGGCCTCAAGCAGTTGTCCCTTGGGCTCTGAGGTCACGCTCCCAGGTCGCTAAGACCAACACTAATCGGACAGCACACGAGACTAAGTTGGCCACAATCAAAACCCTCCTCTATGCATTGATCATTTTTTATGCCCAAGTGTATACAGTCACGTATTTCTGTATTATTAAAGACAAGCATTAGTAATGTTTTTCGACTAGCATTATCCACAATTACACAACCAATTATTTGTTTATTATAATACTGATGATAATAATATAATGAACTAGTTAACAACACTTGGACAGTCAGTCCCTATCTCATAGTCGACCAATAATATCCTTTATTTGTTCAACGTGCATTTGTTTACTTGTATTTTGTTGTTGCTATCGGTAATAGTTCAGTCAAACGTTATTGGTTTTGTGGGTGGACTTATACTATTCACACTAATTAGTTAATCAACATTTATGCATGGAGTAACGATAAGTGTATCTCTCAGAAAAAATATCGGACTCGCTAATTACAATTATTGTACACTGTATTGATACTATTATTTTAGTTGTTATTATTATTAATAATGGTAAGAATAACGGTAATACTAATTTCATGTCATATTCGAAGTGATAGGGATGAAAAACAATATAAAGAGTTCAGTGTCCGAGTTCATCTTAGACTATAAGGAATTCTTTAGGTTTCCATTGTGATCCTACAGTTTTTTTCTGAAACTTAGAAATACCATTAGACTTTAATTGTTTTATTTATCATTGAGTTTGTCTTAACCAGTCGAAGTGAACACTATGAATTACATTTTGTGGTAAATCTCACTCAGTGTTATAGTTAACAAACTCAAATTAGAAAGACTGAAAGAGTAACTGTTGCGTTTTTAAATGAAAGTTATGTAATTGATGATGTTTTTTTACAGATTCAATTGTAATAATTTCTTTCTAATTTGATAATCATTTACTCATAGTATGTCAATTATTAGCAGAATAATAATAATAATAAGTATTGTTATCATTATCAATCCTAATCAATTAAACGTATATAGTATAATATAAATATTTTACATTATTTCATTATTATACAATCTCAGTGTCTTGATAGTCAATATAAGCTAGTTTCGTCTTTGATTTACAATTGAGTGAACGCTGTCGGAAATAATAATAAAAATAATAATTTTAATATCGGGTTCATATTTAGGTGTAGAATGATTATGTAGTCGTAAATTTTCGACTTTATTTTAGTCAAACTGATTGCTCTGTGGTTATCACAAAAAGATTTTTGTCTTTTATGTAGACTGGGACGTTTGAGACGGGATTGATTCTGGCTCCCAGATGCTTTTTCTTATACCAGTCAATTTAAATTATAGTTTCAGACCAACACCATTCCACACCCCTAATGTCATCTCGTTAGGGTCTTTTGCTCTAGGTTAGTTATAGCCCTTTAGAGTTTTCTCAGAGTTTCTTGGGTTACATCGACTCCCGATTCAGACTATTTGCAAATAGTGGGCAATCGAAGAGTAGTCGTTACGACTGCCATACCTTAGTTTCTAGCTTTTTGAAGGAGGATAGAAAGCTTTTTGTGAAGCATATCTTGTGGTGTGGTTGCTTAGTGGTTAAGACGTTCGATTTTCAACCCTTTGTTTGCAGGTTTGATTCCACCTTCACCTACTTCAGTCTAGGTAGTCGAGTAGTATCACTAGCCCCCCGCACATAAAGTATGCTTTGAAACAGAGTACACAGTTCTATATTTAATGGGTTGCATTAAAAATTATCCCTCACTGCATCTGAGTTACAGACAGTGGAAATTTAGGCAAACAATACAAAAAAGATCATTTTAGAGTTAATCTTATAGAATTCATTTGTGTTGTGGAAAGGAAGCATCTCTGAAGATATAGATTATCCACAGGAAACACCTTACTGTTCTTCGTTGATTAAGAAGAAGAATATTAAAGAAGGAGAATAATATTAAATTGGAAAGTTAATATTTCCCTTTTTTATGCTTCCTACGAAATCACTATCTTTAATCAACCTTGTTGCTAAAACAATAACAGTCAAATACATGTTACTGTCACTTACTTTCTGTTGCAAAGTTATATTTAGTCTGTTTAACAAATGAATATTTCTTTATCCTTATGATTTGTGGGAAAAACAGGTTAGTTTATTTATGTTCTTGTTTGTGGTAACCAGTACTGTATTCGTTTACATTAAAGTGTAAATAAAAAGTCTTCATGTTTTAGTTACATTCTTACTCTTAACTTTACGTGATTCAGGTTGCCGCTATGTATCGCACACGTATGGCAAGGTTGATCACATTTGTTCGTCGACCAAATGTTACTAAAGAATCTGTATGGAATGCTGTTAAAAGTAAAGCTGATATTTTTTTGACAAAAACAAACGAAAAAATAAAATCTACTGTAGGTTGTAATTTCGTTTATTTCTGGATTAATTGTCAAAGTTTATTTTGTTTGTTGGACAATTTTCAATTGTTTATTGTTAAAGTGATTCAAATAACTGAAAGTGAACACGTTTTTATCTTGTTGATGATGAGTGCTGACAAGTGTGAAAGTCTAGTTTAAATTCCTAATAGATTGTTCATTAGTTAGTTGCTATGTGAAACCTGGATATTAAGTTGAGTCAACAAGTTTTATTGAATATTAGGCACTTTCTAAACATACAACAAGACTCTCTTGATTGTTTCTATGTATTTTATATTAAATCAAATCACAGTTTAACGCTATAATCTTACTATATTTCATTTGGTCATTTCTTGATTCATCCGGTAAGATATCGTATGAACTGTTGTAATGTTAACTACTGGCGCAGTACCAGATATTCCTGCTGAAAGAATTTTAAAATGTTGAAATACAGGTAGAACTGGGTAATAATCGATTGCGTTATCTAAAGGGCTTCAAGATGACATTTCAATATATAGCGACTGTAGCATTTCACTCAGTCAGCCTATAAGCTATAACTGTTTTAGTCAGCGTTTCTAGTCTTTGTAAAGTTTATGCAATCTGAAGTCTCTCACTTAGTCAAACACTATATATATTCTAATGGAAATCAGGAATTATAGATAGGATAGTTCTTATCTTCTGTTCTTAGATTCCTGTCATATTCCCAGGACCTGGAACATACTTCATCAATGATGGTTAACACAAACTTACACAGTAGTGACAATTCTCTTCCTTTCAGAATGGTAAAGTTATATATCTGGGTTCACTTAATGCTTGTGCAAAACTCTGCCTCCGTTTCATCCCTATTCACTCAGCAATATCGCTTTGATTTAATAAACATTCTTCAACCAACGTTTATGACTGTAGAGACGCATTAATATTCAAACGTTTAAATCAGTAAAACTCAACCCATTTATTGTGACAGACCAATGCAGGCAATTTAGTTTTTTTCGTATAGAATAATGATCATTTTCGTCAAAACTGTCAGTTTAGATTATCAAGTGGTTAAATGGTTATTAGCGTTAGCCTATTTGTGACGTCGAATTTGTTTTTTTTACATTACTTCCCTTTGATGAAAACCCTGTTCGAAACTATAGTGGCATCAGAACTAGGATATTGAACTTAGTGTATATTAATAACAGAAATGACGATTTTCTGGTAAGACTTAAACCATATTGCTTATCCCATCATCGTATAGAAAGGTCGATTACAAAGTTTCTATTATGACTGCGAAATCGCACTGATATTGCAAACATGTAAATTATTCCTCAAGATAGGAAAGGAGTGCTTAGAATCCCTTTACAAAGTTTAAAAAGTATGTATGACTGTGTAATATGCTTAAATTTCAAATAAATTCCGAATTTGCAAATTCTAATATCGCAATAGTGGTAACGTTAAACTGCTTATAGCATGATTAATCATTATTTGTTGAAATAGTTGAAATATATGTTTGCGCATGTCCAATAACCAACTATTATAGTTTAACTATCTGATTGGTTTTTAAGAGAATAAATACAACTAGTGTGAAATCGGGTTGTTGCACAAGTTTTAATTTAGAATTCGTCTATTATTAAAATGGCTAGACAGCAAGTCTTTCAATGTATATATTGTTTCTGGATTATATCGTCATTAAGTTATACATATCAACTTTTTGGTCGTATGAAGTTGTCAATGAAGTGGAAAATTTTGTTTCATCTCTCTATGCTTTAACGGTACACGCTATTGACTCATTTGAAGAAAAGATTAAACTTTCATTTCTTAGGATATAGTGTGTAGTAGTTCAACCTTCAAACTTCTAATCAACTAGTCATTTAGTGCAATACATTATCAGCTTTTACTCATGTTTTTGTCATTTCGAGCTTCCAATTAGTGATGCTATAACAGCCATAACTACTTTAAATTGTTCTTCAGATTAACCGATAATGTAGTATTTCTAAACAACTATATGTTATATCAAATAAGTGTATTGAATATCATGGTGTAATTCGCTATTGCTTATGTGTGTTTTGTTTGCATTACTATGTGTTGTAAACCATAAAGGACAATTCTATCGAGAACGACAATAGAAAATCAGCACTAGAAGAAAAGGGTATTATCTCATCAAAACACTTTCATCACAAAATAAAACGATCATGTTCACCCGAAACAAATAAGTCCAATGTTCAATATTCAACACCTGCTGTTGGTAAAAAATTGAAATTGGAGTCTGAATTCGAAAATTTTAAATCGCAATGTAAAAGTGAAACGATTTCACCAATAAAAAAGTCGGTACGTTTTGTTGTCTTTTACATAGTGATATTTTGTTTTAGTTCTATGATGTGTATTTATATGTTTAACGTGTATTTAAAGTCTATCTAATTGATCTATTTGTCATTTCTTCATGAATTTTAATGAAATAAGAAAAAAACAATCAAGTTTCTTCTAGTTTACAATTTTCCTATAGTTTACATATTCTACAACATTCAGTTTTTTTCAAAAGTTTATCAATCACAATTTTACTTTAGATTGTTCAATTTATGTTTATTCATCGGTGAATTTTTCAACACCATTATTTTTGTTATTATTACCGTATTTTCAAAACATATGAGAATGTTTTTTTTCAAAACAATACTGAAATAGCAATACTTCATTTCTTGTCTTTAGCAAAAAGATACCAAATGTAATATGAACAACAGGTAACTGACACGCAGGGTAGATTTACCAATAAGAATCACGTAACATTTCTCTATAATTCGTTTTCTATTTCCATATATCTTCTAACGTCTTAAGTTTTGATTAATTTTGCACTTAGACTGGTAAAATTGATCCTGAGTTGAGACCGAGGTAATGTTAACTCCTACTGGTCCACCGATATGTATGTTCTATTTATATCTCCAGTCATAAGTCCAATAAGCAAACGCATCAAACATGTGTCTACTACCATATTTCCAGCACCCTATATATTCATCTCAAACAGTCATTAGTGTATATACATGATTTATAAGGGCACTATGCACCCCAGCTATGAAATAATACTTTACACACAATCATACCATAAGTGCAGAGAACTGGGCAAAGTCAAATAATTAACTCATAGGTAGTTAAGAAATAATAAATTGTATATCGACAGTTAATAAGTTCAACCGAAGCTCACAATACAGAGAGCATATAAATGCAATAATCCAATTATACAACAACTTTACAATTAAAATATAAACAATAATAGTCCAGAAATTTACAACATTCCCAATGTTCGCCCCGTCAAATAAATCCTCATCTACTTTCTTCATGTTCTTACTTTCGTCATGTGGTTCACGATTTTTAGTAGCAAGTACTAAGTCGGTTACTAAGTATTCTACAGATACAATAAAATTCTAATAAGCTTCTAGAGTCAACTGTCTGTCAAATAATCGCACCTTAGATTTTAAATATTTTGATATGCATTTTACATTTTCAATAATATAGAACAATCAGGTAAGATTCGTCTTTAAGCTCAAAGAACAAAACTCCACCTGAGCTACAAATCTCCACTATCTCAAGATTCATCTTCATTATATTTGTTTACCTTTTAACCAGTAGTTTATGTACTCAATCAATTCATCTTAGTTTCTTACCAACATCCATCATTGTAGCGCAGATAAACACCTTATTGAATCAATGAAACAGGATAATTTTCCATGAATTTACAATTGTTTCTAGTTGGTGTTTACTGGTTTTACAACTTCATAATGCGGATTTCCTATAATCATTCAGTACTAGATACAATGCATTTCAAAATCCAATTAATAAACTTCCGTCATGACTTGAAAGCTATTCAATAGTTGGATTGTATAATTACAGACTTCTTTTAAAATCACTAGATTTCTACTCCGTGAAAGGTAAAGTATAAGACTGATCAATTTGAAAAGATTATGATCAAAATACCCATAACATTTCAGATTGTTAGCACTGTTATTGCAATATTACTGATGGCATTTGATTTCACTGATAATTTGAGTGGATGATAAGATCTCAATTTGTTGAATGAATATCTATCCCTATGTTAAGTGCAACAGTAATATGTCTATGATCTAGGTTTTATCACCATTCTCTTTTGAAATCATTTATAATGATATGGCATACAATAGAGGATTTATTCAGCTTCATTTTTACAACATTCATCAATAAAAAAAACGAACTTGAAAACAATTGGGCGAATATACTGAGTTACTTACCTATACGACTGTTTTCTCGGGAAATTCTATGTTGTTACTTTTAAAGAAATAGTTGCGTTTAATTGTTACAATAATATCTCAAGAAACAACAGGAATGTTAATATTATATACTGATTAAACTATATTACTTGCAATCAGTTAAAAGTACTAGGGATGAATTTTCAACTAAAAACATTCCTTAGAGTGAGCAATTTGCTAAGATATTGAGTTTGAAGTCGATTTTCACCACATGATGACATCATATGGAGTAATAATAGAAACCATGTATGGATTCCAGCTATCAGAGTAACCAAATTAACTTTAGACCACTGAGTTGTAGTGCACCAAAAATTGACCAAAGTTGGAAATGTAGATCGTTGGATTCTTACAAGCATAGTCATCTCGTAACTTGGTCCACAAATTCATGTTTTCGTCTCGAATCATATTGTCTCTACACCTAATCTTTCTTGCTACCACCAGTACTGTTTCTGCTCTGCTATCTCGCTGTGCTGGTGTGGTGTGGTAAATTAAACAAATTCACACGTGTCCCACGTTCTACGTTGTTGATGACTGACTGTTCGGTGTTCTTCATTTTGATTCCTTATCGAATCTTAAGTATTTCTTACTGCGAATTCCCACATTAAGTTCTTGTCACAATTCCAACGCTATCTGGTTTTAATCGTCATTTCTCCATATAAACTAACTTCAAACATGTTTTTTTCCTCGATATGTTGTTCAGTGTTTACAAATATTTCTGAGCATAACTGGGATTGTTCATTAAATTGCCTCTTGTTTCATTTAGGGTTCTGCGATAAACAAACACGGTGTTTATGAAAGTGAAGATAGTGATTTCATGGATTTCAGTGACGACGGTGAGGAGACAAGACATCCTACAGACTTGAAGAATAAGTCCATGAATAAAGACCAACCTTTAAACTATTTCTGGACAAAACAACTACAATCTGGTAGCAAAACTGAAGGAAACGGTAAGCTAAACAAAAACGCAAATAACCAATGGGATTCGACTGAAGTTGACCCCGATATCAAAGGATGTAATCGAATCCTAGTGCAAAATAAAGATGTACGTTTTTGTTAACCACGATACACACTGTAGATATATTTCTTTGACGAGCAATACATTTTATGCGCTGAATGTGATTTTCATACTTTTTCAGATAAATCCCCTGTTTTAGGAAATACTTTACGCTATAAGTTTTGGGTTTTTCAATCCTCCATTTAGCAAATCGTTTGAATCTCCAAAAGTAGATGACTGTCAGCTGTTTATTATTAAACACATTCCATAGCTACAAAATATATATCATTCGTTTTAAGTAATTATGTTTAGTTGTATCGATATGATTTCTATTTAGATAATGAAATTTTAGTACCATTAATTCTTTTAGCAGAAGAAATTCAGAAAAGCAGATCTATTTTGATTCGGGTTTATTCTACCCGTTAAAACAACTACAATATAACGGAAGTTATTCTTGTTGTTGAAGAGAATGTTTATGTAGTCATATAAAAGATATTTGAATAAAGGCCTGATTAATCTACATATCTGATTTTTAATTACCGCCTAATTGTCCCAGTTAATCATAGTTGTACTACGCAAACACTGAACTAGTTAGACCAAACAAAGCTTAACATTATTATCTGATTATTTTTCGTGTTCATGAAAAGTGACCATGAGAATATGCAGTTAATGTAGTGAGATTGTTAACTCTAATCTTGGCTAATGTTTCAACAATTATTTTTATTAATTTTTTTTCTGATTCATTAATAAATTATGTTTCGTAAGTCTTATCAGAATCAACGCTATATGTGTTATCTTCATCAACTTCACAGCTTTGGCTTTATGATAGAAAGTATTACATACACATACACATACATACTGATGGCTAAATATTAAATTCACTTATTTTATCTGATGTATCTCACAGTTTCTAGTTTCGGTATTGTCAAGTTATTGTTCACAAACTTTAATGATAGGATTATTATATTCGCACTAATAAAAATTCCTAATTCATTCTTTCTTCGACGCTTTTTTAAAAAATAATACTCTTCAAGAGTTCTCCAGACCTTAGTGATGATGATGATGATGACAGCAATGGAAAAGAAATAAAACGACATCCACAACTAGATCCAGTAATGAAAGGGAACAAAGAATTATCAAACTACGAGGTTGCCCGTGATCATGTACGAATTGTAAGATCTGATGAGGTCAAACATGACATCAATGGCAATGATAATATTGACTATAAGTCGAAATCATACCATACCATACCACAAACAGGATCTATACCAGAACTTCTTATTGAACCTGAGAAGCGTCTAGTTTACTTTTGGGAACAAGGTAATAAAACTGACAGTCGCTCAATCCCTAGAAATACTGCTGTCATTACCACTAATATCACTAATAATACTACTTCTGCATCCATCGTATATACTGCTAATCCGAATGGCATTACTACTACTAATACTGTTGCCACAACTATCAGTACTATGAATGCTCATATTTATGAACGTGACCTGGTCAATCCGTTTCCAACTCATATTCAAGAAGAAATTACTAATATCCCTGTTGACAAACAAATTCATCATAAACATAGACCGGTTAATCCTCGTGCAATCGTGTCAATTCCGACAAAAACACGGCATACTGAGCCAAACAAGGAAATTGTAAGTTTTATCATTCTTTTTTTTCACCATAATTTCTCTGTTTAAGCGACGATTTTTTAAAGCTATCTTGTCGTCATTGTATGAATTCAGTTCTATGATGATGATAAATGATTGTCTGTATCCTCGTCTTTAGTATAAAACAATTCTATCTCTGTTCAAAATTTTATTTATTGAATAAAGTATATCATATTGCTAGACATATATAATACTAATCACTCACGCTTCCTACACCAGAAAATTTGTCATTTTATGCTCCGTAACAATTAACGAATAACGTTAAACATAAGAAAATATTTGTATGTTTATCAAGAATTGTGAGTATACCGTCGAAGTTGATATTGTGCAGATTTGCATTTCTAAAATTTAATACTTGACTATGGATGATGTTAAAAGATTGCCCATATTCGATTGTAGTTGTTATAATCACAAAGTAATCGATGTTAAAGTAAGAAAATATTAATTTAATACAAAACAAAATAAAAACGTTACATCTAACCATGTAGTGAAATCTCATATTGTTCTGTCGGAATTACTCTCTTCCTTTAGTTATTCATCACTAAACACATTACGAAAACTTGTTTTCAATTAGTCTGATGTCGTCCAGCTCAATGAATAGTACCAATCTACTTATATATTAGATATTGATTATATATTTAGTGTTAGATATTGCTGTATGAGTTATATACGATATCTAATATCAATGTTAGATGCTTGTATTATCTTGCTGCAAATAGCTATGATTATTTTTCTGTATTTATATTTTATGCTAAACTTTTACCTCCTTTCTTGTACTAATTATGTAATTCAATTCATTCGAATTTCTTTCTGACGATAACTTTCTGGTGCGTATCAGATCAGGTATTTCTTTTTCGATTTGTCTACAGTCAGTAATGTGATATAATAGCAAAAATTAAAAAAAAACAATTTGGTAACACTCGCTAATAGATACGAGATTATACGACCAGTAGATAATACACTAGGTCACATGGACTCATTTGCTCAATATTCGATCAAAGATTGGAAATCAAATATAGACCAGACAAGTAGTCAACACAGAGTGAATCCAGAATAAAATTACAACAAAATATGATATAACATATTTACTATCTTCATATCTGCCTTTCTTCTTTCACTAATCAGTAAAAACTCATTCTCGCTTGACGTATAACAATCCCGCGCTCAAAAATATGTCATAGTTTAATTGATTTTGACACACAACTTCTCATCATTCTGCAGACTAAATTACTCTAATATTTCTGGCCTGTAGAAAGAGAAATTATTACTTTAAAAGAAGATTCTATTCGATTTGACACTATTATTGTTTCCTTTTCTCTATGTAGAATTCTGCATCTACCGAAATGAATTCATCTACTGCTGAATTAGCCAAACAAGTAGTAGCTTCTCTGTCACGTCATTTTGCCAAAGGTTTATTCAAAAACAAAGTAAATTGTCTTGTTTTTTTAACGGTGATTTGAAGAAATATTTTTAAATACATGTTTAGGCCTAGGTACGATCCACTCCAAGCACATTTATTAATTTACACAACAAGGGATTGACTTTACGGCTGATTTTCTCCCTAAAGGTCGGTGATATAACTTACAGTATGTGGAATATACAGTTTTTTAATCGTGTATGCACTAAAAAAGTACAGAGCTTTCTAAATAATCTAAGTGACAATGTGAAAATTGTTCACACCATAAATATTCATTTTTCTAATTAGGAATTTTACATTGCATTGCAAATTTTTCTAGTTAATGATTATAAATTGATATAAGTCTTCTATTGGTTATCACCTACTTTTCTTGTGTAAACTTATAGTATGAACGTTTTCATTAAACGTTAATATCATAATTAACTAAGCAATAATCACTTTTACCTTCATCAAAGAATGAAATCCTGCGTCGGTAATTAAACTAGCATTTTATGTTATACACACTACCTTAATACAAAATCCTGTTTTTGAAAAATTTCAGTCATTCAGTTAGTATATAGAAGTAGATAGGGAGATGCAACAGTCATCCGAAATCACACACAAGGATCACTCGGTCTCACTTATAACAGTTCTCAGTAACCCATAAAAATATCTGTAATTGGTGAGGAAGCTTTAGAATAAACAAAAAGACGCGTATGTAGATACAGGATAGATACGTATACAATGACTGGATATTCTAATTTCCAAGGAACATAACGGAAAATAAGTGTATCTTGTTATGGGCATTACTGAGTTTTTAACTAAGAGATGTTAGCATTTTTAAAACTATAAATCAGGAAATTCTCAGCTCTTTACACAACTGTAATTCTTCCAGTTGATAAATAACTTCATGGAGTGAATAATGCTATATATACATATTCCTAAGTGGATTTAGTTGGTTTTTCTTGGAAAAAGGATAATTGTTCGTCACTATGTTGATAAATGAGTTTATTTACTGTTAGTTTGTTTAAACGGACTTCAACTTGACGATAGGTTTGAAAGTGTCGACCACATGGTGCTTCTAAAACAAATTGTGACTGAATTGAGTATTCAAAAGATTCTCTGTCTGTAACAATAATTAATTCTAAATTCTGGCATCATTATATTTTTGCAAGTCATATAATTTCAGCTATAATATATGGTCTGCGTGATTTTAGTAATAACGTAAAGATAATTGTTGTACATCGTTTATGATACTTTTATCAATGAAATCAAGCTGTTATTACACTCACAGCCATTAAATACACTAATCCACAAAACTTCGGTGGTAGATTTATAATTGCCTCGACTTCCACGCTAAAGTTTTAGGTATGCCTTAATTTTCATTACATGTGTAACTTACGTATACCCTGGAATCTAAATGTACCCATATATTTGTTTGGTAGATACAAAAATAAAATATAAATTTCGGAAAAAAGAAAATATATGCATAATAATCAATTATCAGATTGTTTTGAACTATTCTGAGGATGATACAATCGTTACTCCGAATCCCAAAGCGGATTCGTACCTAATAAAACTACTTTCTCGGTATATAGATACAAAATGTGAAAACTAACTTTTCTAAGAATACATTTACTGTCTCGAGGAAATAAAAACTTATGAACAAGCACTTCTGGTTAAATAGTACTTATATAGCGTTGGGAAATATATTATAATCACCTTATTAAAAGCAATGTGGACCTCAATAACTGATAGGAAAAGAAAGAAACAACAAGCAATGTTTCATGTTTTTATAATTACGATATCGTCCAATTTATAAGTTGATAATAGTAACCTGATATTTGTCACTACTTCGACAGAGATTATTTTTAGTCATGAATTCAATACAATAATAGGGATCTGTTTGATGTATTTTTTTATGTATACTGTAGGATGCATTCAAATCGGTCGCCAAGAAATTGACTCGAAAGCTGCTCACACACCATGAAGTCGACATATTCAGTAAGATTCTCTTCCTATTTTTTGTTTTTATTATTTGAATATGTCCAATATGTAGACAAAATATTACTGTATACTCTTGTATAGAGTTATCACCAGGATACGATTGAATAAGCTGACCGCTGAAATATGTAGTGTCCTCCTTCAGAAATTTTAACTGAAGGTCAAAGAAAGTTCAAACATTTTAAAATGACAGTAGTTGCAATATGTTAGAGCCTGTCAAAACAAATTATACTCACTAATTATTTCCGTATGCGAAGGATTCTTTGTGTCAAACTGATTACTAGTTAAATTAGTTGGTTCATAATATTTGAATTATAGTACGAACTAAGAATCCCAGAAATAACGCAATCGAATCAAGAAGTACTAGGTAAGCACGAACGAATGTAATGTATTTGGAATTCTAAGTCAAGCATTCAACAAGTACAAATGAATCATTAGTTCATTCAAACACCACAATATTATGTAAACTATGCTAAAGAATAATACATAAACTGTCAGTGTCAAAGGCATATGAACGCAAAAATTTATTATTCGTATAAGTTGGCAAAAGGATCCACCGTAAGGTTCAGCCTAGTGGAGATGATGTTTCAATAAATTATATCATCTTGAAACGTCAATTTTAGTGGATCCCATACGGAGTACTATCTGTTGAAGTATATACCAGGTAAAAAAGTAAAAAAAGATTGATTTATGATATTGCATTTTAAGTATGATTGTATCGAGTTGGGATTCGCTGCCATTGCGATCTTATAAATCAAGTAACTCAGTAACCGCATATATTAACGAACATAGCTCATAAAGAAAACCAGTAGCAAACTGGGTGTAGTTTCGTTATAGGTTACCTTATCAATAGTAGGATTCACTTACTGAATGAACCGAATCACTCATGGTATTCAAAATATGTCATCATAAAATTTATCATCTTACTAATTTCCAAATGATTATCCTCTCACTGTATTATTATCATTTCATTTCGTTTGACGCCTTTATTGATAGCTTTATCGATCCTGTCCAATGACTAACAAATAGATTGATGCTCTTTTCATTCTAAACTTATGACATATTTGCTTAAAAAGTATTACCTCGTGATTTTTGTCATTCAGTTTTCTCCACAAAAATAAATTTTCAGCTAAATCAAGATTAGATCAATTGATCGATCAATTATTGATACATTTCGTGGAGACAAAAACACAAATTCAAGTCGCAGATGATATTGACTGGAGTAGATTAGCTGGAATATTTTTAAGGCTACCGTGAGTAAAACGCGGCCGATAAGATTAAAAAGGTGATTTGAAAGAATACTCTTCATTTTCTTTAAATGAAATTAATTCTTGTTCTTCTATATGCAGTAACACCTTATAGGTCTACACAAACAAATGCACTTGCATATACCTACACAAACATATTGTGATAAGTACCAATCACTTTTAGACTAACCAGAAATCATTTGATTTGTTTAAAATCTCACCCAAGCTCGCCAATGCTAATCCCTAGAGTTGAATGATTATCTATTTTCTTCCTGTGTGCACTAACAAATGCACTTGCACATGCCTTGTATCCCTCTCTTACTCTTTGTTCCATCTTTCGTCCTGTGTAAGTAATGATTTTTGTTCATTTTATGCCTTACAAAAATTATTTATTTCACCTACCTTCGTAGTTCTTTTCTCTTCTAACTAAGCAAACGATCGATCTATGTAGAACCATATTTTTTTAATACAGAGTAATCACATAAAGCTGACATGAAAGTTTCTGTACCGGACAACATTTGTAAAATACGAGAAAAAAATCTGAATACATATTTTTTGGAAATGTTTTTTCCTCTATCCACACAAGACGTTCTTTCTGCAATATCAAATATTCTAGATAAATGTTTCTACTTCCTACAAAGATTATTATCCATAAATTACGTGAATCTGATCGATTCTTTTAAATAAGGCAATTGCTAATCAGTTTCACGTTATACTTGCACATAAACGTTAATCAATAGAATACTTTAGTTTTTTCTCATCGAATAAGTATGGGATGTACTGGAGAGTTAGTCGCTTAAATATGAATGTAACTCACTTACCAATTAAATGTCATGGGCTCAAAGTACTGGGGGATCAACAATATGCTCGACATTGCAGGTAGCCTTGCTGACAAGTTGCAACTATCACAAAACGTAGGTCCGGAGTTTCCTGTGGACTACCACTTAACATCAAGTAGATGTTTATGCACTCAACATTGAGCCATATTGTTTGAAGGCTTGCGATACTGCTATCCAGCTACTCAAATTGAATTAGGTAGACCAGGGTTCTTACGAGAAAGCTAATGTATGAAACCTGATTTGTTCAACCACTAAGCGACTTTTTCAAAGACTCAACTGCTGAAGTTAGATAATATTAACAAGCTACACTAAATTAATCAAAAACTCCGTCTAACTCACCTAAAATCTAGATAAAAATTACAATACCCCTGAGCTTAATATTATTTGTGGTAGTAACTCATTTCGTTGCCTTCAAACGAACAAGGTCAATTACGGTAAGGAAAACATTCAATGCATCTTATTTAAAAAATAGTATCACCCGAACTAGTTTGTTTCCAGTAAAATCTGGTTAATCGGGACAATATTAAGTGATAAATATAGATATGAGTGATATTTTGGACAAGAATTAAATTTGTTTGTTTTGTGTGAAGTCTATTAATTAGGCAACCCATGATCTAAAATTCCACCCAAATAACTGATTTTCCCGTTAGGATCACCTTTGCAGATCACACAAGTATCATACGTGGAACCACGGTAAAATGCTATACCATTTAGGGCCGATTTTACACCATTTACACGTAACTATGAACATATCCGATCAGAATCGCATCGATCTTTTCTGGAGCATAATTAGATGGTATTTTATGTTCAAAATTTGTCCAGGATAACCATCCCGGACATACTTTAAGCAGTGTCTATTATCAGTCATTAAACAATAAATTATTGTAGCATACCCACTAGACATTACAAACTATAATTATTCGGATTATACCGTATTATTTTCAACATTAGACATAGTATGAAGGAATTTGAAAAATCCTTGCTCCTACTGGTGGTAAACTAATTATAAACTTCAGCTTGAGACTCAGGTTTGTCACAGAACAACCCAAAAGATCGAATCCTTTACTATATCAGCAAACATCTACCAAATTAACTAAGGATAAACTCTATTTAGAAGAGTGGAGATACACTGTGGAAATGAAGACATCTGGCAACTTTTTCCGGAAGAACGGATATACGCGCAACTTTATCAAAGAACTAAGTGTGGAAGGTAGCGAACGGATGATCCTAACACATATTAAAGACAGCGAATACAACCAGATTAAAAAGACGTCATTCACAACTCAGCTAAATCAATTCTATGCTAAACGAAATAACAGGACAACAAGCCGAACAACTGCGAAATATACTACCCCAACTTTGAAAATCATTACATCAACCAGAGCGACCGCTCTTTTGATAGTTCTCTAAATAAACACTCATTGGCTATCAAACACTATGATACATCTTCACTTACATCAACACATGTAGGCAACTTTAAGGCTCTACTTGGAGGAACTTGAAATATTGGACAATAGCAAAACACGAGTTTCTAGGGCCTTGATACTAAATTAGAAAAGTCACAAACAACTATAAGATCAAGGGCGGACAATCAGCGTAAATGTGCAGACGTTGGGACATATCGGCAACAATCAGTCAACTCCAAGGTCTACGTGACAAGATGCTAGTCACTCAGAGAATTCCTTACATCTCACCTCTAACTGAGGTTTGTAATGACTTTGTTTTGGATGGCAATGAAAGCGTCGCGACTTAAACGCCCAAAGCAAAGAGCACAATTTCAGGAAAACTATTCTCTTCAACTACAAATCTCGGCCAACTTACCACCAGTAATCAATTGAATACCCTCTGTCAATCGTTTTATTTGCTCTACGTTAAAAACCGTATCAGAATAACGTGTAGAATGTGAATGTTTCTTAATTATTTCCTCAGGATTCAACAAAATGCAACTCGTAGGCAATTAAATATAAGTTCAGTCAACACCCAAACGACTTCCCCAGCAAAGCGTGTCCAAAAAGATTTCGGTTCTACCTAGCAATCTGAATGAAAATATCGATTGTCTTCTGTATATCTACTTTGCTATTATGATAATATGCATGGTGACTGACATGATATACAAAGCGTTCGCCATTAACAGTGTCGACTTGGTGGGGCAGTTTTTTACTGTTAAGTAATCTATAATGTTAGAAAAATGGAATCGCTGATTACTACTGTAACATATACATTATTTCACCTCAAAATGATGAAAAATCACTGCTTATTTTATGAAGCTTGGTGTATTTAATGTACAAAAATAATGACAATAGCATATGATAACACTACTTTGCTAGAAACATGTATACAAAATAAATGCAACTGCTTATTTACAAAAATACTTTATTTTCTTCCAGCCAGATATGGTGAAAAAAAATGGAATATAGAGGAGAACATCACTTCAAACGATTTTTTAAGTAAAATAAAATTTGATTAGCTGCCTCTCGACATGTCCCACTTATCCAAGCGATCTTTATCACCAATGGTCCATGTTCCTCTTCAGCAAGAATCACATCGTCATCATCACTAGCGTCTATATCACTTTTAACTTTCATAATTGTCTGACCACATTCAATGCTATCATTATGCATTACTTCGTCACTGTTGTTGATTCCATGTGGAAATAAAGATGATTTTGCATGTACGTCTTTAATAAATGAATCTGTGTTTAAATACTCAACAAATACATTGGCTTGAATCACATGTGAGCAAGTGTCGATAGCAGATGGTGATTCATTATTTGAACACGTATTAATTTTGTTAGCTGAAGCATTCTCACATTCATCTCCATCAAACCAAGCGTCTTCACCTTCTTCACAGATTTCATCATGAAGTGTTGCTCGCGTTCGTTTTGGTGGATTTACCAATTCCACCACAGAACTATTTAGTTTTGTCTCTGCTGTTGCTTGTGTGATTGATTCCGATGAATTATTCATTTCATCTGGGTTACTATCATGTACACGCTTTGAAGGATTTTTAAAACTGACCGTATTTGTGTTAAAACCGCATTCCATGGGATCTATTTCATTGGATACAGAATCATTATTAGTTGGATTTCCATTGTTTATCGTATCCGATTGTTGAGACATTAGAAGACGTTGAACTTCTCGTCGTTTACGCCTAGTATGGGTCCACGTATTTACTGTTGCTGTAATATTTAAATGCAGACCACCTAGTTCAGCACGATTTTTTTGATCTAATACTTTCATCTAAAAAGCCAAAGAAAAATAAGATAATATAGGGATTTATAAATAGTTCATCACGGTGAACGATTGTCAGTGTTTAATAACCAATGCGCTGAAATAACATAGAAGAGTAATTAAGAGAGACCATACGTTAATTGTGTTGACCAACACTAAAAAGTATGAAAGTTTCAGGTAATCTCTTACAAACGTCTAACAGCACTACAGCACGTTGTGCCACTAAGCTCAATAAACACATACGATGTCTGGGATGATAGAATTTGATTAGAATTAGACACCACAGAAGAATGATGACCATTGGGATAACTAAGTCTGTTATAATGTAATCCAATTCAAACCGGAAGTTCAATCAACTAATGTGTACCTGGCTTTTGGATATTTAATGACCATTAGTGACGAACACATCAGTCAAACGCAGCATAGGACTTGGTACTCACATACAACGGTTCGAGTTTCTACAACACATTAGCAGATCAAGTTAAAATTTTCGGGGCGAACCCCAAAATAATAGAGGTAGTAGCAACATCAGTGGTAATAGAGCATTGAAGATACGATTCGAGAAAACATAGATTGACGAAATAAGAAAATTATGAGGAATTCAAAAGATTAGGAGAAGAATGGATACACCTGCACCTTTACAAACGATTTTGAGCCATGTCATTCAAAGTCTCTAGCCACTGGCTACGATAATCACACGGACCCCGACCACATAGTCTACACCTATTAGCATAGCTCTCAGTCCAATCCATAATGACTTAATGTACCGATAGCATGCTTTAATTTTGCCGCTCAAAGCTTTTTTTCAAAATACTTCTACACCAGACAACATCGCCCGTCGATAATTGGGCATTAATAACATGTCCCGACCACCTTAGTTGATAAGGTCTTAATAACTACCGCATCAATCGAGTTACCACTCTGACATAGTACCCCATCACCAACACAGACACTGTTTACTCCGTGGTCCCAAAATACATGAAGAATACTTCGAAGATACCAATGATTGAATACCTTTAACCTAAGAATATACCCTATTTATTAATGCCCATGATTCATACCCAGAAAGTAAAATGAAAC